TATGAACATTTAGTTCATATTTGTATCACATGGGTTCATATGAACCCGTTTACGGTCTATTTATAAAAATTACAAACGTACCCTCTCTATTTTTCGTAGAACCGCAATTTTCCATCAAAAATCAACTATTATACTTATTAAATATAACATATGTAAAAAATTGTAATTAATAACAATATACTTTATTTTGCTTTTAATTTGATATAACTAAGCTTTAAACATTTTTAACACACTGAATAAATTGGTCATTATTTTTGCAATTTTGACCCAATAAAACCAATTAGACGTTATTGAAGTTGAATGATGTTTATAATGTTATATTGACCAATTTTAGGCAATTTAATAGCATCGTATCTTTTTTTCTTTATTTTAGAGAAGAGTTTAATATAGTTGTTGGAACAAATTCTTTCTAAAATAACGTAATTGTTGAAAACGTTATTAAAATAGTTAGAGGCCGTTTACCTAAACACTTATCAGTAAAATTCAACACTATCGCTTACTTATCGGGTAAGATTTTATTCACTAAAACGCATCATATGCAACAATTTATCTCGGTAAGCGTTAACCATGGTAAGAGTCTTCATCCTCACTTACCGGGTAAGACTCTCGATTTTTGTCTTCGCTCTTACCGGATGAGATTTTTAGTCCTTGCCATATTCATCCGGTAAAGTGAAGTGACTTGGTAAACGCTTACTCAGGTAATTGTTTGGTAAACGACACCTTAGTCTACAATCAAATTAGAAATACGATGTTAAAATATTTGTTGTTATATAATTTAATGATTTTTAACTTAAGAAAAACACATATAAAATAATTTTGAAATTGTTTATTTTTTATATTAATCCCATCTAAATGGTCAAAAAGTCAACTTATATAACTTGGAAGAGAACTTAAGATTGGTTTCATACATTGATGCTATAACTTGGAAGTCCTAAGAAAGTCAACGTCACCCCACAATAAATTAGTTTATATTTCTTTTAATAATATTATATATTCAAATATACTTTTATTTGGGTATTATTTTAAAAATATGCGTCACAAAAGAGTAAAAAAATGTTCCTTTAATTCATAGTAGTTTGACGTTACTTTGACAGTCCTGGTTGGAACTTAAGCCCAAAAACATTCTTTCAACCTGTGGACAACAGTTATTGTATAATTACAGATAAACTGATAAAGCTATATTTAAGCGTTTATGGTTTAAAAGTTATTTTATTTAAGTGTTTATAGTTTAAAAATGTCTTTTTAAGAATAAGATGTTTGTTTTAGAAAACATATTTTAATAACATTTTTTCTTAAACACTTTTAATATAATATTTAATGGTATATATTTTAAAATTCATATTATTATTATTTAGTTCATTATTCCCCCTTTTGACCTCACATGTTTCAAACAAGATTGTAGTCTATTGTTTGAGGATGAGGGTATTCTTGACTTTTGAAAGTGGCTGAGGTGGAGGGATGAAATGCTTTTTTTTCATTTATTTTGGTGGGATAAAAAATGCATTTTATCTTACTCGGTTTAGTTAAATTATTTCTTTATCTAATGTTGCTTCAAGCGTGAGACCAAAATAAAGTTATTGAAAGGAAGTTTCTAAAATAAGAAGCGGAACAAAATATGTTCCATTTTGATACAACTTTTTTAATATGTAATACGCTTTCAAGGGGGGGGGGGGGGGTTGCATTCGATCTAGTTAAAACATACCTAGAACGACCTACTGTAATTGGATATCTAATTGTAAGTTGATCGAATCAGATGAGATCCAAAATTTCAACATCTAAATTGGATTGATCGGTTCTTGAATTACAGTCCAGAATCCATTAAAACTGAACCAATTCTATCCAAAACCATCAAATACCTATCCAATCACCATACAATTAATAAAATATATAATTATTAGTGGTTTACGATAGTGTTTGTAGTTATTATTTGTTTGTATTGTTTTCTAAGACATTAGGAAAATATATGAACAATTGATTGAAATAGTGGATTAATAGGTTGAAAAATTGGACAAAATATTGGAAGAATCCAATCTGATATGATCTAATGGATAATCAATACTAACATCCAGTGGATGAAAATAGATGAAATTGATCCAATCTAATCATCCACTGGAATAGATTAGATCAATTGTCCAATATTAATTGGATTTTATTGGACGGTAAAATTAACATCCATTCAATGATTAGATTGGATCAGAGACATCTAAATCCATTGGATTTCAATCGATCAACACTCCTACTTTCTAATAATGATAGCATACAAAATTGTTGAAAGTGAGAACATTTAAAAGAAGCCCATTGTAACGACTCGCAATAACATGGTTGTTCTAAAAGAATAGGGTCCCAAGGTCTTAGAGAAATCTACGGAACTTAAATAGACTTGATAGATTAAGTCGAGAAATCATAGCCTTTTGGTGGTGTACAGCATTCCCTCATGAAACTATCTAGACATTTTACTTGATGGTTCTACATAGTTGAGTTTAGAGCTTTACTATAAATTGATTTCAACCATCAATAGGAGGACGCATACAGTGAGGTGACGCTCGTTTTGACACACTTCTTAAGGTTTCCCAACGACCTATATAATGAACAATAATAAAGAAAGAGAAACAAGAGTCTATGTGGAAAACTCTAACACCAAAGAAAACGAGCCTCCAGAGAGAATTCACTATGTGAAAAGTTTTAAAATCACACGGTTCTAATCTCTCAAACCTCCCCGAACTACATCTACATTCTCAAAGATTTAACTCACATCTGTCTACACTCTATAACAAGAGCACAAGAAAAACATAAGTGCATTTTACTGAAATGACTTAAAACCTTAGCGTTGGACCCCTTTTACAAGCATGGTATCTCTTTCACCTTTTATTGCTTTACCGATAGTTGTAGGGTAAAATTTGTCCCTCAACCTTTAAGTTCATCCTACGACCATCTTCAATCCCAACGGCAAAATGAACACCAAACTAGTGGGGATATTAACACCAACAATTGCTTCAACTCAAGCCCATATGGTATATCTATCGTTTGAACATGAATACTGCATATATGTCGTTTCTTTTCCAACAATGACATGTTGTCAGTGAGTTTGCAGAGAAGTAGGAGCACTCTACCGATGCATTGCATTTTGATTGTTTGATTGGAGTTGCTTGAAAGCGTGAAATTAGAAGTATAGTGAGAAGAATCGATTAAGTTCTTACATGAGATCCAATGAGTGTTTGTATTCTAAGTTTTGAATCAAAGGGAACTAATCCCTCTTCATGTTTGAAGTACATATATGTATTTGTAAGTATGTGCTTTCACGAGATTAGAGTTGTGGGTCAAACAATTGAAGTCTAAACTCATACCAGTTGCTTACACAAACGATATTCCTAAACTTTCAACTTCAGTTTAGCTTTTGATTAAGTGAGAAGACTTAGGTGGCGTTTGGTTCGCGGATTCTAAAAGAATTGATGAAATTGAGATGTTGAATTCCTTTGACCAAATTTCATTCTCTTGTTTGGTTCATTCTTTTTTGAGAAAAAATCTCTAAAATCCATCAAATTCCACAAATGAAGGATTTAAACATTTGATGACATAGATGTGGTATTTTGATGGAATGATATATTAATATTTCATAATTTCAAATATACCCTTAACCCCAAATATACCCAAATCTCAAAGAAAATAGCCGCCACCGTCCCTTTCTTGTCTTCTAGATTTTTCTCTGCTCTCTCGCCTTCTCCATTGCAACACCAACTCACCACAGGTTCGATTTCTCTATTCTCTATTTGATTTGGTCTCGATTTCTGCTCGATTTCTCTACTTGTTTCTCGATTTCTGCTCAAAAACTATAGATGGTTTCGATTTCTACTCGATTTGGTTTAGATTTTTGCAAGAAGGGGGAGCCAAGAGAATGTGCATCTTAAATCAATTTAGTAACGTAATTTGGTTTATGGTTATTTTTGGGTTATGCATTTTATATTGTTTTATATATTAGATGATTACTTCATTAAAGTATTTTTAGTTTTAAGACAAAGTTGTTCAAAATTTTCAAAAAAGGGCATTTTGATCATTTACCAACATTTCGTTCCAATTCCAAAACTACATTCTGTAAACCAAACAGATAAATTCCAGTTTATTTAACATGTTTCATTTTAATGTCTGCCAACCAAACAAATGGTCAAACATTATAACATTCAATTCCAATTCCTTCAAAGTCAAATTCTTTTGACATATTTCATTTGATCCAAAAACATTATGTGAGCCAAACGTGACCTTGTTATTGAGGGTACTAATCTTTACGAATTAAGGCTTCTCGTAAATGAAAATCTATAAAACGAATAAAGGCGCACAAAAGCCTCCAACCGACAATGCGAAGGCCAATACAATGTACAAAGACCGGTACTTCTTGTACGATGACTACCGAACACAAGATTTTCCGAAGAAAGCAAACTCCCATGTTGAATGTGGTTGTAGAAATCCTCAATGGCATATGTAGTCATCTATCCTCTGTTAGAGGAAGCGTGTTAAAGTCGCACATCAGCTAGATTTGAATCATTTCTCTTCCATATACATTGGAACTTCATTCTCTCCTCAAAGGCTCATTTAAAGAGTAACTATTGGACGTGTTAGGGTCACACTTCGGCTAGACTTAGCCATTTCTCTTTCTATATATGTTCGAGCCTTCCTTCTCTTATCAAGGGCTCATTTGGAAAGTAACTTTGGGGTTCTTCATATTCTCACATATGGTTGCCATTTCTCTTCCACATATGTTCGAATCGTCTTTCTCTTACCAAGGGCTCATTTGGAAAGTATCTTCGGGGTTCCACGTATTCTCACACGTGGTTGCATGGAAAAAAACGTAACATTCACAGTAGACCGATCATGCAAGCAATGAAAATTTAGAAAATGATACCCTCCTCATCCCAAAATAAGTGTCTACTTTTCAATTTTATATGTTTTTTCAATGTAGGCATTTATTTTGGGACGAATGGAGTAATTTGCAGCAGATATCAAAAAAAAAAAATCAATATGATGATAACCCATTTGAAAAGTTACACCCACCAATTGATAGTCTAATTTTCAAGAAACCTCCAGCACAATAAGTTTTAAATATGTCGGCAACAAAAATTATCTATGATATAGAACTCGTTTCGTCGTTACCACAGAATTCGATGTTCAAAACCATCCAACTTCAAATCAAGAATCCATTCTTATCCACTGCATTAGATATAAAAGACAAGTTACAAGTCTGAATCTTGGTTCCTTTCGGTAAAAGTCAATGTTACCTGAGGAGAGATCTCGTAAGATGTTCGCGTGCAGTCGCCAACGCTTGACTTATTGTCTACGATAACCAAATTCAAGTGTTGAAAGCGTAGAATATGGAGAAAAGAAACACAATTTGAATTTTTATATACTCTTCTTTTTGAAATATTCTTGTTATATACTCTTCATGTTCTTAGGAAACTATAAATAAGGTACCTGCTCGGACAGAGGAGCTCCAGAATCTACACTGTGGCTAGCAACCTTTCCAGCAATGACACTTGCATCGGTTTCTAGGATGATTCTGAAAAAAAAAACAAGTATACACATGTTAGAAGATGCCCAAGGGGGCAACGATTTAGGAATTTGTATGTCTAATTCAAATCCCAGAGGTCCATGCTATCATCTCCTTAAGGGTGAGTTTGGAAAGCATACTACATAGGATGACAAGACAAGAACAACAGTTCCATGTTTGGCATGACATGAAACAAGAACACCGTTAGAACAAAAATAGAGTTTTTTTTGTTCCAGCCAAACAAAAACACAAAATTACTATCTTACCCTCCTAACATATCAAAATTTAAACAATCAGAGACTTGCTATGAACCCCGGAATAGTTGGGCCAGCAGAACCCACCACGGTCATGATAGGACAAATAACCACAAGTCGATATTAACTTAATGCTCATAGCCTCATATTGATCATACATAATATCCACTAAACAATCTCAGATGAGCTGAACTTTTAGAAGCTCAAGGCAGTCAATGTGATTATAATGGTGAAAATGTTTGAGCCCAGATGTGCACGAAACAAGTGCGACCAAGTGAAATCATTTGCAACACTGATTTTTGAAAGCTTGTGGTACAAATAGTTACCCAAATTAATCCTCAAGATGAATAATTGGAAAGGCTAGAAAGTGAACGATATGTCATCATAATAAATTGATACAAATGAGTTTACGTAACCATTTGTGCATGGATATGTTAGCTGCTAAATCATATTAGTCAAGTTAAATGCACTAAACCCTGATACAAAACATAGTATCATACCAACATCCTAGGTAGCAAATACTATATCTGGAAAAGAAAATACATCCATATTCACAACCTTGAACCTACTAATATGCCCCAAAGAACAAATCAAACCAAACCAAACGAGCGCAGTGAATCCCACTCGGAGGTGGGATCCCACAGTGCAAGAGGGGGGGGGGGGTAATATATGCAGACTTGTCCTCTAACCCAAATGAGAATCCATAATTTATTATATATGACTTTGAGTAAACCTAGTTTGACTGTAATTATTAATCCGCCTAAATATGGTGGAGGTAGAATTAATGTCTACAAATATTCCGTCATTTTGGAAAAATATCTCCAATTTGGAGATTATTGACTTGAAATATGTTCAACTAGTTACATATTTAATTAAACATGTTACTTCTACATTCAAAATTTAACAATATGTTTAAAGAAGTCTCTAACAATATACTTAATTAAATGTGTCTTTGCGGATGATGGACCGGGGATGAGCCCATATTCCAAAGGGGAGGAAATTTGATTCCCCATCAGCGGTGGGGACAGGGATCGGGTAGGAGAATCGGGGATGGGGATGACCAAACCTGCCCCATTCCCATCCCGAAACATGGGCATAGCAATAATTCAATTGACCTGATACCTGCTTCATTTAGCAAGCCTCATTATGTAGGTACTTAGAATTATATCACACAAACATGCAGTATTTCCTCCTTTAGAGATAGGACGAAAAGAACATTTTTTCTATTTCTTAAATGTGACAAATCTTGAAGCTTAAAAGGGTAAACTTCAAAATGGATTCATTTCTTTCCCTCACCAAATATGCACGGAAGGACTATAGTAACCTAACGAATATTTTTAACCTAAATGTTACTCCCTTACATATTAATTACTATCAACTAAGTGAATGGCATGGAAATTAAGAATGAATTTGCTCACTAGTCATTACCATGTTCTGGAACACAAACTAATCGGTCAAAATATAAACCCAAAAGAAATTATAAAGCAAATAAACTCAACTAGGGCTACTCTTGATGATGATGGTAACTACCATTCATCTCCATAAAGTTAAAAAGTACTGCTACCGATCATGGGGAAATATCATAGATGTATGAAAGATAAGGAATCACATTAAGCATAGTTTTATAAAAAGATAAATAAGTGTAGCTTACCCGCCATCAATAATTTCATCAAGGCACAACAAAATGAGATCTAAATTTTCAAGTGCCTCCTTCTTATCCACATTGCCCCTAAACACACAGCCATTAAAGTAAATTACTGAAGCTCCACTGAAAATGCACACAAGGAAAACAGAAAGGCAGACGAAAATTGTTTACAAACTACCTAAGCAGAAGACCAACTGCATCAAAGAAACCCTGTAAAACCGTCGATAAAATGAGCTCATTTTCATCGTCACCCCCAGTAACAAAGAAGTGAAGGTCTTGAACAAACTTGTAGACGACAATGTTATTCTCGAGCATCGCTATCTCCGCTGCACATGGTCCAAGTCAAGCAAGAAAATCATACAGCTTAAGAAACAGAACAGATAATAATGACCCAAAATGATCTGTAACCCGATGCCATACAGATGGTTTCAGTTACATAGAGATACATAGCATCCTGAGTTTTCTTCTTCAACCCGTCATGTAACATGGACCTACTTGATGCATCAGCAGTTTACTTTATAAAACAAGTTTGTAAAAGGGGAATCAAATATGATTAAATATGCTTATCACCCCATCCAGAGCCCACCCAGATAAGACTATTATAACCATATTCTGAATGTTTCAAAAGGTATGCGATCCATTAGCCAGTAACGGACATCAATGAAAGAATCTAATATAACATAAGCTACAAATACAAAAGACTATAGGGCTTTAGCATCTAGCAGGAAAGATTCAATAGAGCATAAAACAGACTTGAGACTGAAAGGGGCTTTAAGAGTGGAGCATACCTTCTGTTCGTGCATTCGTCTTTTGAGTCTTGGTAAAAATGGACTTCTCAAATGCTTCTTTAGCATTATTAGTTGCCCAATCATCTGAATAGTACTTCACAGCTATGCGACCTCCTTCTGAGTCTAGAAGTAGAATATTCTTTACAGAAGGGCAAGACTCCTACACACATGAAGATTTATACATAAATATTAACATCTAGTTGCATTCTTAGGAGAGATTTTCAACCAGTCACCACTTGGCATGAACAATTAAACATAAATATCAACATCTACCTCCATCCCAGCATATAGGAGAGATTGCCAATGATCTAGATATAATAAATTTTGTATTTATGGGGCTGATCCATGCTAAGTGGTGAATGATGAGAAATTCCCACCTTGTGCTGTCTGAAACACAATCATCTCTGCCACTATTTCCTGGGGTGGGTGAATATTCTGGTGTACATCACAGACACAAACATATCTGCCAGTAATACCACGCATATCCAGCAATAAAATAATAACCCAAGGCCAAGGATAGTTAATTTGACAATCCTATCCAACTCTGGGAATGGTTACTTATCCTCTATGCATCTATTTTCATCTTCACTACTTATAACCAGTGATCTTAGTCAACTAATCTAGGTTTGACATATAGCAGGCAAATGCTACAATGTTATTACATGTAAAAAATCTGTAAGTTTTTTAAAAACAAGACTATTAAATAGCTAATTAGATATAAGGATAAATACACACTCCACTTCATAAAACCACATGAAATGGAACTTATCAAAACTTCAAACGCATGGCTCGCTTTCCTCCAATAAGTGACTTCCGACCCTTTGATATCCATTTTAGAAGATAAAGAAAAATTATTTGATCACGGTCCTGTTTTATCATCTGCCAGTTTTGAAGAGATCGTGAATGGATTTGTTTCAATCATCATACTCAAACGTAAAACAAACTTCTTTATTCAAAATAAAAGTTAAATGCAAATAGATCCAAAAGCCAGGCATCTTGAAAACCCTAGAATTCAAAAACCAAATAACGATATCAAGCGATTGAAGCAGTAATTGCGCATAATTATGTGTTTTCTACATACTAAAAATAGCTTGGGTGCTCCATATCATAAAGAACACCTAGCAGACCAGCAAATATGCTAAAACCCATCTGACTAATGTACAAGGAGATGAAATTGAAAATATCAAACGCATGTACAGATTAAATGAAGAAACAGAAATAAAAAAGTGATCAAAATCAAGCAATAACAGGCGTGATTTATGCAGCAAAGAACCAGATCTCAATGAAACTTTTTACTAACCATTGAATTGGAATTTACGCGTCAGGATTTTTCGGCTCTACTTTCTCGTACAGGTTCTCAAAAATTAAAATAGAACAGAGGAAGCAGGGGAACTAAGCTTTTTATTAATTTTAAAAACCTTCTCCTATAAAATTATTTTTTCAAAGCTTTTTATCATTTAAAATTTAACATTTATCCTCTTTTATTTGAATTGTGTTAGGTTCTTTTATTTGAATCGTTTAGAGTTATTTGTTTACCTCCTAATAGTTTTATTAACAAACATTTTTTTGAATCGTTAAGAAGTAAATCTTGTTTATAGTTTGTCTCTTAATGATTTAAAAACCCTCTGAATGATTTTGTATTTTGAGTCTCCCTTAACCATTCAGCGTCCTAATTTCATTGTAAACAATTATCAAACAATTACATTTCTTTTTGCACTATATCATGATAGTCTCTTAATCATTCTGCACCAAACCATTTAGCAATCGGCAATCAGCCCCTTATACAACCTTTTTCTAAAAAAACCATTATAAAATATATTGTATTTTAATTATCATACAACATTTTTATTATGCATTAGTTGTTTGTTTGTCATGCTAATAACCGTACTTTAAATTTTGGGGCTAATTTACATTGTTTAGGGTCTCCCATATACGGAAGTTGATAAAAATATATAACAAAATATAACGATGAAGATACACAAAATCAATTCGGTTAAGAAAAATAAAAACCATTAATATATTACATGAATTTTTTTATGTTATTTAGGTATCCGATATTGATATCGGTTTTTTAATAATATATATTTTTTATAAAATATATGTGGTTTTATCATAGACATTTTATTGAATTAGATTAATTGGTCAAAATATATTAAAATTTAAAATGAAAGTTATATTAAAAGAAGGGGTAAATGAAAGATTTTAGGGAATAAAAAAATTAATTTAATGTTTCTATCTATCTAAGTATTAAGATTATGTCTGACAACAGAGTCGAAAGAATAGTCATCTTTTGAATAGTAACCGTCTTGGTCTTGGTTTGGTGACCTTGAACGATCTTCAAAAACCGTATCTTCTGAATTCTTGTCTTGAGTAAATTGTGGAATAAAGTTTTTGATCACTTCTTGAATTGTTTTATTAATCTCATTTCTAACCTTAGTCTTTGATCCTTACAACTTTTTCTTTTTGGATTTCTTTTTTGTGAGGATTGGGTTTTAACTTGGTTTTTCTCTATCTGGTCTAGTATGGTATGGCAGGTTTAGATAGAATCTAGATGGTGAGCTTCTTGAGTTTGGGTATGAAAGGATATGTTTGTACTGGAAAAAGAGGGTAAAGGATCTTGGCTTGAGGGAGATGGATTGTATTTGACAGGAAGTCAAAAGTGTTTTCCAAGTTCCCCAAGGGAATCCTAGATTTCTGTATTATGTGAGTTCTCAGTCCGGTTAATGGTACAGGAATCAAGAGTCATCTGTGTCTTTTGAGATTTGGAGAATCCCATAGCCATCTCCGGATTTAATGAGTCTTTACCAGCTACTGGTGAAGCTGGACTAGCCATTGAATTCTTAGGCTCAATGATATCTCTATTGACATTCGTTGGAAAATGCCCATCCATCTTAATCTTCTGAATATGGCTAGAAGATGAGCTTTTGTTCTGGTTAAGGGAAAAAGAAACTAACTGTCTTTCGAACATCGAAACTTGTTTTTGGAGGCACAAGTTTCTCGTTTTTAAGCTGAGTATTGCCATCATTGATGATTTTGAAAGTATTTATAAGGTTTCACAATGATCACAAAACAAAGTATGGGTATGGCTAGTATTTTTAGTGACTGGAAAATCTAGACGGGGTTCAATATAATTTTTGAGAGAGGGAAACGGAAAAGTTCTTTCCTAATCTATCTCTAGTGGCTACAATGACTTCTCCGTAAATATTAAAACCTTTGTATATGGGACCAGGATAACCTTGAGTGGCATCAAGAACCTCGATCCAAATATGGAAGAAGCCTGCATTTTACCTTTAAAGCCAACATAAAATTTAAAACGTTTAACAGTCTGACTAAAATGTTCTTATAAAACATTTAAACAAGCTATAAAGCATTTAACGTGTTTTGGGTTTCTACCATAGGCAACCCAAAGATTGTCTACTAAGCAACGTTCTTCTTTGCTAAGAGATACATGGTTTTGAGTTCTGAAGGAAATATTGCTACAAGCTTGGAAAAACAATTAAGTCGTTGTTACCAAATCTAAGATATTCTTTATAGTAATGTCTATTTTAGTTATTTAAAGTCTAACTAAAAACTAGTCTTGCTGCATAATTATTTCCCGGAGGTAACCCCAGTCTTGGAGGGGGTCTAGGCATCTCCAAAAATAAAGAACACATTAATAAAATTAATTGTTTTTTCTTTTTAGCCGTCAATGAATACAAGAAACATTGTCTGTTCTTGTATATTTTTGTCAGTCATGATCAAAAGAAAAATTTTCTATGTTAACAAAGTCTAAATCGTGGTTAGAGTCCGAGTTTATATCATGATTATTTAAGATCTTGGTAAATTTGTTTATCATTTCAGAATCAGAATCACTATTTTTGTCTTGATCTATATCAGTCTCTTCTATATAAATTCTACTGTAAATGGACTTATTGTGAGAAATATACTCGTTAATAGGAATAAGGTCTTCATTAACACATTCTATTAAAGTATTTTTTTTCTATCAAAATTATTTATTCTTTTAGGACATGTCTTTGCTAAATGTTCATTACTACTACAAACATAACAACTAAGTCTATTTCTATAATTTCTTTGAGGTTTAAATTTCCTAACATGCTTTTGCTCATTCAAATAAGGCTTTCTTTTATTGGATTTTCTCAAAAAGTATCTTTTTTTGGATGACCCTTTAAAGTGTTTATACTTTTTCTTCAGCTTAGAGCATGGAGCTCTATAAGTTTGAGAAGTATACATATCTCTACAAAATTTATAGTATGTCTTTTTAGGCTGCTTTTGAATATGGAGGTCAACGCATTTTTCTTCTAATGTTCTAGTGATAAATTACGCTCTTTGACCTATTGACCATAAACAATATGGACTATTTTTAACGGAAAGCAAATTATTCCATTTATGATGATCTGGATGAATAATATCTTCTAAGGTAGTGTCATACCCTTTTTGACAGAATATTTTCGAAAAGATTTTTGGGTACGGAGTCTCTTTTTTCGTTTGTTAAATTTTTAGATAGTTTATTCAAATTCATTTTAGAACTCTTTAAATGTAACAAAATTATAAATCTTGGGAGGCTTATCTTTAATGATTGGACTTTTTATATAAAGAGAAAGAATTGATTTGGTATGTGAAACTTTTAATATCGTCTAAATCATATAAATATGGGTAATTTTGTTTATCTAACTTTTTTGTAAAATTGCCTAAAGTATTTTTTACTTCTAATTCTCCAAATTTAGGTTGATTAAGATGTTTTAAAATATTACTATATATTTCGCTTTTTTGAAAAGTCTAGATTGAAATGCAAAATATTTATTTCTTTATTTAAAACAGAAACGGTCTCTTCAAGACAAAAAAGAAGTCTTTTATCTAAATTAACTAACAAGACTAAAATAGTATTTTGAACTGGTGGTCTTTTTCAAAATTACACTTGAGCTTATTTTTATTAGCTAACATAACAGACATTTTATGTGACTAACAAGACTAAAATAGTATTTTGAAAAGTCTACAGTTATAAAACAAGATACATGTAACAGGTAAAACCTAGATATTGATATATCACTGGAAGACATAAACAATAAAAAAGTCTACTTATTTTTTCATAACAAATCAATCAGTTTAAACAAAATATCAAGAAAATGCAAACAACTAATATAACACGTAAAAAAAACTATAATAGATAAATAATATACAAAATAAATTAAAATAGTAAAAAAAAAAAACGAAACCTGAAATATCCTTCTTGTAGTTTCAAGACAAGAGGTTTTATTTTTACGAATAACTAATATTACAGATAAAAGACGGGATACAAGTGAAATACTAATTATAGATAAATTAAATACAAATAAAAACAAAATAATAAAAAACAAAAATTAAAATCAGTTTTGTATTTCCAAGACAAGAAAAAGATGATTTTTTATTTTTAATTTTTTATATCATGATGAAGAAAATTAAAACCATTAACAATACCGCAACCATGCTACCCAACCAAAAAAATAAATAAAATAAAATAAAATCGTAAATGTTGCTGTCATACCAAAGGGGTATGGAAGGTTAATGAAGGCGGTTATAAAAGAGAAAATATTTATATAAACTTAATCCTACTTAGTACTCTTCTTAGAGGATGATCCAAAACACAATGTTAACTTCCCCTTATGCAAAAACATGCAAAATAAAGACTCAAAACAAAACCAATATGAATAACACATGCATATGAATTAGATACACACAAACTAAATACAACCCATATGAATTGATATTAGTTGCATGTAAATATTCTTGCATGCAAATATAAGTACAAGATCATAAAACAAAACTAAATTTTTTTACAAAGACAATAATATTCGGATTTGAAAAATAATTTTTTTTTAATTGATTTCTCTCTAAATCAGTAACAAAACTGATGATATCTCTTTCTCCGACAGATTCAAGGGATGACGAGACAGGCTCACTCCGGTCTTAATTCAGTCTGTAATTCCAGGTCGCTCAAAGATCAACACCGGTAATGCACTAGTTTATAAAGAAATCGGATTTTTGACGCTAAAATGCAAACCTTTTTGGGAAACACTTTTAAATTTTTTAAGAACATTAAAAGTTTTTTAACGAAACACAACAAGAATTACATTAACACGAACTTTTTTATTTGAAGATTATAATACAACATACAAGGGAAGATTGCTACAAATCTAATATTACATTAAGAAAACTATAAGGATTTCCCTTTCGGGAAGCCCCTTATGGACTAATACAAAGATTAAGAAGAAGAAAACTCACTTAAAGAACTCTTTATGCTACCAAAGTGATGATTCTTTCCTTGAAAAGTTGATAGAGGTTTTGAGAGAGAGAATTTGGTGAAGGGAGTGTGTGTGTGTGTGTGTTGAAGTGGTGTTGGTGAAAAGTTGTCTC